CATTGATGACATAAAAATTTGTCTTTTTATCAGCTCTGGTCTTCAAAGCAAAGAAGTCATTACCTGCTTCAGCCTTTGAAAGAAAAAAGCTTCCTAGATCCGCTGTCCTTAGTGTAGGCAAATAGTTGGCTTTTGGTCCTTCTGTCCTATGTTCTGCAATCAGCTTGTTAATTACTGTGTTCTGAAGGTTATACAGAAGAGCCACATATGCATGACCTTCCTCTACCCCTAGGGTAGAGGGAAGAAATCAAACTCCTATTCCTCCATATTCTGTATCAATTTCAATACCCATCAGCAGCCTAATTTTTGTATTATTGGTTTCTCCATTTTTGAATTTTCATCCATGGTTGAAACCAAAGGAGCAATTTGTTCCTGTGAGAATTTCCAAACTGTGCTCTTTATCATCATTTTGTCATCTGTACACGTCCGCAGCAGAGCTCAGGGCAGCGGAGCCTCTGACTGGGAAACTCTTAGGACATGAGGAGGAACTTTACAGGAATTCAGGCAAGTTGGACGGTGTCATCTTAGCGGCCTGCTGCTGTGCAGCACCTGGACCGGCCGTCCTTCCAACCTGGCTGCAGGCGAGGTCTCTGGGCTCACCCCTTTGTGTTTGCATCTACCGAGCTCCTGCCCCCCAGAAAGCCCAATTCAGCTATTACCTCCTCTGTGGAGTCCCCCACAGTTGCTCCTCTGGAGTCTTGCCCCCTCCGATCTCTGGGTCCTCTCTCTGACCCTGCCTACTTTGGCTGTCGCACCTGTCCTTACATAACCTGCCAGAAGCCCTCAGCACCAGCAGGATGTGCCTGTTCAAAGGAGCAATGAGCACATGCATGAATGAGGGTGTTTTCCCTTCCAGGCCACATCCAGCCCTCAGAATTGAGCCTGAGTCCTTCCCATTGCCCCTCTTTATCTCTGTGCAGCTACTGTGAGAAGGAGCAGCATCCCTCTGCCCCAAATGTTTTCCATTCCCACTGCTGTGTGACATCAGCCTTACCCGGAGCGTCTCTGAGCCTGCCCCTCCCCCTTAGTCATCTGCCCACCAGAGGCTGGGCCCAAGGTTTCCTTCCACGTTGCAAATCTCAGCTGTGCCTGATTCAAGCCTGGACTGGGCAGATGAGGATTTTACTGCATTCAACACTCGATTTAAAACAGACCTCGAAGTAAATAATTATTTTAGTAGAATTGTTGCAGTCCCCAGATGGACATGAGTCATATGAAAATAACCGCACGAGACAGAAGTGTCTCTGAACTGCCTGTGGTCTGACTTTTTTTCTTTTTTCTCTTTCTTTCTTTCTCTCTTTTTCTTGCCTGCCTGCCTGCCTGCCTCTTCCTCCTCCTCCTCTTCCTCCTCCTCCTCCTCCTCCTCTTCCTCTTCCTCTTCCTCTTCCTCTTCCTCTTCCTCTTCCTCTTCCTCTTCTTATACTGGGAGTTGAGCCCAGGGAGCGCTGAGCTGCATGCCTTGTTCTTTTTATTTTGAGTTTTCCTAACTTGTGCAGTTTGAACTCCAATTTGTGCTCCTCCTGCTTCAGCCTCCCAAAAAGCTACGATTACAACCGTGTATCACCATGCCCAGCTTGAGGCTTCTGTTTTTACTTTTTTCTCTATCTTGTTGTTTGTTTTTATTTTTTGTAGTACTAGGGATTAAACCCAGGGCCTTTTTTGCACTGAGATAGAATACGAATATATATATATATATATATCTTTATATAGGCTCTAAGTTACAAAGATGCCCAGGCTGAGCTCAAACTTGAAACCCTCCTGCTGCAGTCTTCCAGAGTACAGGGATTACAGAAGTGGGCCACCACAATCAGCTAAAGTTTTCTTTCTTTTTTTTTTTTTGCGGAACCGGGGATTGAACTCAGGCCCTTGCACTTGCCAGGGAAGCGCTTATTCCATTGAGCCATCTCCCTGGCCCCTAAAGTTTTCATTTTTAGTGAATTTTTTTTTTGGAAGGATCTACAGGGTGTTCAGGGCCTCACTACTTGATGAGACTTGTAGTGATCCGCCTGTTTACAGCTTCCCAAAAACTGGGATTACGGGTGCATGCCACCATGCCGCCTTCTCAGCGCACCCCAGGGGCAGGGCCAGCACAGCAGGCTAGGGAATAGAACCCCTGGCACAAGCAGGCACATTAATCCACTGAGCTATTTGGCTGGCCCTTAGTGAAGTTTTTTTTTTGGCAGGGGCAAGACCTGAGTTCAATCTCAGGCCCTTGTGCTTGCCAGGGAAGCTCTTATTCCACTGAGCCATCTCCCTGGCCCTTAGTGAAGTTTTTGTCAGACATATAAAAACATTATTTGGGCCAGGGAGATGCCTTAGTAGAATAAGCGCTTGCCTGGCAAGCGCAGGGTCCTGAGTTCAATCTATGGTTCTGCCAAAATAAATAAATAAATACAGGCTGGTAAGATGGCTCAGTGGTCTAAAGCACCAACTTAGAACAAACTTAACAAAGCACAAGGACTGCGGTTCAATCCCCCAGCACCACATGCCAGCCAGCCCCGCCCCAGAGCTGGCCACACACACACACACACACACACACATTAAAAAAAATTAATTTAAAAATAAATAAATAAATACATCATTTGCAAAGTCAGCACACCTGTATAATTATTACCCAGATCAATGTGTCTGGCTGAAAGAGTGTCCCCATTCCCCTCTGGTCTCCATCTACTAAAGAGAACCACCATTCTGACTGTAACCATGCAGAATAGCTTCCCTAGATTTGTACCCTTTCTGCTAATGGAAGCAGGTGGTGGCTGCACTTTTTTTTTTTTTTTTTTTTTTTTTTTGGAGACAGGGTCTTGCTATGAGCCCAGGCTGGTATTGAACTCATGTTGCACCCCATGTCTCAGCTTCCCAAATGGGATTACAGGTGTGCACTGCCACACATGGGATCTCTGCTTTTGAGACTGGCTTCTTCCACTCAACAGAGTACCTCTGAGCTCCATCTGTGTGTGCATCATCATTCTCTTTGTTGCCATGTAAGTGTTGTACACAATGCACTTAACTAACTGATCTAAGTTGATAGGTATTTGGGGAGTTTCCAGCTGGGAATAGCTGAGAATAAAGTGACTGTAAACATCTTTGTGTATTTTCTCAGTGTCTTCATACCCCTCTTTCCCCCAGGAGTGGAACTGCTGGGTCACAAACCACAGGTGTAGCCTGAGTGTGCACTGCTGGGTGGAGCAGTAGGTGGGGTCCAAGACGGCATGGATGGGATTCTCAGGGTGACCACAATATAGACCACCGTGTGGGGGGACCCACAAAAGGTCAGTGATCATGAAGGGACCTAGTAAAACTACTGAGGGAGATTTGCTCTCCGCTGTATCCCCATTACTCCCAGGACAGGGAAGTCCTTCTGGGCTACCTCACTCTGAGACAGTCAGTCCTAAAGCAGGTCTTGGCACAGCCTCACTGCCTGTGGAGTGGGCAGGGGCCAGGATGCCGTGCTCCAGATGCCAGGGGGGCCCCCACGGGGAATGCTCAGCCAGCTCCACTGTAATCAGCTTGCTGATACCCCGCCTGGCCCTCAGTGATAAGGACCAGGCACCAGGAAGTGTTCCCAGGCATGGAGCCAGTATCACTCCCAGCCCATCCCTTCACCAACAAATACACCTCCTGCCTCAGCCAGGTGCTCTCCCAGGTCCCATGGCCCAAGGCTTAGGGGCTCCACCTCCAGCCACCCTACCCTGTCCCCCATTTCCTGTCATCTGCCAGTACATGGGTCACTCCAGTCCTGTCTGGGATTTGGCTCTGACAGTGAAAACTGGGGTCAAAGTTTAGGTGCAGCCCACAGGAGACACCACTACTGATAGACCCCGAATGTTGCCCAGGGTCAGCTGAGTGCAGTAAGCAGCTGGAACAGGAAGGCTTCTCCAGAGGTTTGGTCTGAGCACATTTGAAGGGCAAAAAAAGGGGAAAAGGGATTCCAGGCTGAGGGATCACCCACCGGGAGGTGCTCAGAGACCCAAAACCATGGCTCACACTTGGGTTTTGGCTCACATGCCAAGAGCTAAAGAAGAGCATTACTGGGGCAGGCAGTGAGGCCAGGCAGGCCCTGGGGGCCTCACTCAGGTCTGGGCCATGTCTCTAGACTGAGGTCTTCACCCGATGGCAAGGCTCTAGTGCCTACTGCGTCCAATTCAGGGTTGATATATAAATCTCTTTACAATATCTTTCTTGCAGTATGGGGGACTGAACCCAGTAAACACCTAACTTCATTCCCAGTTTTATTTTGAGACATTGCCCGAGCCAGTTTCAAACTTGTGATCCTCCTGCCTCAGCCTCTTAGGAGCTGGGAATCCAGGCATGAGCCCAGTGGCAAGCCTTCTTCACTGTACTCTTGGCAGTTCAAGAAATCAGACATAGCTGAAGGTGAGATGTGGAAGGAAAAAATAGCCCTATAAGCGTTCACCTCAGGTGCCTATGGAGTTTCACTGTGACCCAACCAAGCTGACTGTCCAGGTAGGGACAGGTTGTCAGCGTTGGGACGAGTTCGAATCCTTCTATACTGAGGCCTGCCCCAACCTTGGGCTCCTGAGGGAATCTACAATATAAAATCTGCAAAAAAACCTAGCAGCTTATGCATAGTTGGCAGAGGTGGGATTGGGGTCGCATTTAAAGCAGCGCACTGGTAAATTATCCTGCAAGAGGTAGGTCCACGAAATCAGGCGGGCTAGATGCTGAGGCTCTGGCTTGGGTCTGCGAGCCTCAGGGTAGCAGGTGACGCAAGGTCTGAACACTGCCCCCTGGCCACACTGCGCTGGGCCACTGCGCCCCCTCGCGGCCGCCGGAGGCGGTGTTGGGGCTGGCACGGGGCTTCCAGCTGGGCCCTGTGTGCCCGCAATGGGTGCGGCCCGCCGAGTTCCCTACAGGAGCGCAAAGAAGAGCTTCCCAAAGGACCGCGAAGCCCAGGGGCGTGCCCGGGGAGGAAGCGCTTGCGCAGGATCATGAAGGGCTTTAAAGGCCACGCCCACCCCGACCGCCACGCTACTGCGCAGGCGTCCCCGGCTGCGGGGCGCCATTGCTCTCTTGCTCCGGAACGGGGGGCTTTGTCGGAAGTCCACGGGACCGAGGGAAGGCAGAGCACTACAGCTCGACGACGGCGGGCTGGTGCTGCAGATGCAGCCAGTGAGGGCTGCGTGCCCTTTTAGGTCCGGCTAACCAGTAAGGAACTACAATTCCCAAGGTGCTTTGCGCTGAGGCTTGCGGGAGACAGTGATGTAACGGATCTTGTACTACGGGTGCTCCAGGGAGAGGGCAACGCGGTGGCGAGGGCTGATGATGCATTCAACTTCCGGGTTCGACCCGAGGCTTTAATCCTTCCTGCTTATCCAATTTAAATTGCCACCTTTTGTTTTGTGGTACTGGAATTGAACCCAGGACCTTCGTACAAACTCACGCCTTTACTTTTTTTTTTTTTGAGACATAATCGCTGCATTGCCCAGGCTGGGCTCCAATTTGCGATCGTCCTCCTGCCTCAGCCTCCCAGCACTGATTACTAGCATGTGTAACCCTGCCGGGCTCCCGGTTTGGCATTAACTGTGGCTGTTTCGTGGCTGTGTACCTGGTGCCTTTCAACCCTGGGCCACTGATACTTTTTTTTTTTTCTTTTTGCGGAACCGGGGATTGAACTCAGAACCTTGCACTTGCCAGGCAAGCACTTATTCTACTGAGCCATCTCCCCGGCCCCACCACTGATACTATTATTACTAGTTTTTTGGAAATAATTTGACCAGCTCCCATAATACCCTGTGAAAAAAATTCTCCAGTTGTTAACATAATTTGTCTCATTTGCTTTAAGCACTTCCTCTCTTTATACTTTTTTCTTTTCCGGAACTATTTGAGGTCACAAACATTTGTAGAGACATAGCCCGTGTATTTTCTGAAAACAAAGTCACCTTTTAGTCACAAAATGACTAAACAACGAACAGACTTTTTTCTAACCCACAGTTGTCCATATTTAAGTGTTTGTTTAAATCATTCCAGTTGTCCTAAGAAAACCCTTTGTGGAAATGACCTTTTCTAGGTCTAGGGTCTGTTCCAGGAGTACTCGCTGCACTCACCTGTCTGGATCTTTAGTTTTTCCTTCGTTTGGTTCTGCTCCAGGTTTTCTGGCCGATTCTGGAGATTCCCGGCCAGTTCTAAGGTTGAGTTTGTCTGAGGTTTCTTTTCCTCTGGGGCCTGCCTTGTGCTGACTCGGGGCTGTTGCATTCAGAACCTGATGTGTGCCACGGGTGGGTGCCCAGAATCAGCATCTAAGCCACATCACGCTTCTGTCCTGTAGGGCAAATCCACCAGCCGAGCCCCTAGCAGGCCCCACTCTTCAGGTGCTGCCCCTAATCTGACATCTCCCTCTCACCCAGGCCTCAGTTTCCTAGAGGACCGCTCAGCCATGGTTCATGCCTTCCTCATCCATACCTTGAGGATCCCGAATGCAGAGGATGCGGGCTTTTGCCGAGTGCTCTACTCTTGTGTCTTTGGTGCTGAGAAGTCCCTGGATGATGCACGTCCACATGGTGCGGAGAGGGACAGGCTCCTC